AAAAAAAAAAAAAAAAAAAAAAAAAACCAAGTTTATAGAATCAGAAGTATCAGCTTCTGAAGAATCGTCTTATAGTAAATCATTCAGAAGTAGACCTTGATAAAACTAAGTAGGTAAAAACCTTCAAAAGCACCTTCTCCTGAGTATTAGAATTTTATAAAGACTTGATTTTTAAGAAATACAACAATCCAATTTCTTTCTTGTTAACTAACATTTACTTCATACTTCATGTGATGTCCAATTAAATAATAATTTTTTTTATATAAATAAATCTAATATGATAAATTTTATGATCTCACTAAGTTAAAAAAAACAATAAAAATTTGTATCACAAAATGAAAAATGATAAATATTTTTAAAGAATAAGGTAAAAAATAAGTTTTAAAAAATAAAAAGAAAAAGTATAACCTTCTCCTTTTAATATAATATTAATTCAAACGAGCGCATATATCAGCGTTGAGCCATTCCCACAGTGAATTTTCAACGCGATTTTGCATTCTTCCGCGTTGAAACCATCCACCCTCCCAAGTCTTAACCTTAAATTCGTTGTAGCTCTTTTCTTCAGTTTCTTCCTTCGTGATTTCATTTTCTTCTTCAGGTACCTATCTCTCTTCCTTTCTTTTTCTACCACTATGTTTGGTTCTTCTGGGCATTCTTTATATCCTTCTTATTTACTTTTCACTTTCAATTTTGTAATTCTGTATCTGTATTACCTGCAATTTTCATAATTCCACCTTAATTGCTATGAATATGTATTCATCTTAATTTCAAAATTCAATTTTGAGTGGAGGGTACATGCTAAAAACTTGAATTTGATATTTGGATTTTTGCTTCTTTGCCTTTCCAGTGACAAATTGATATCAAGATCATTGTTTGTTTGAGATAGAGATAGAGAGAGAGGATGTTTGGTTCAAAGAAAAGTCCTTTGAGAGATGCTAAACCTAGCTCTGTTGGCCCTGTTCACAACCCCTTTGATTCTGATGAAGAGACAAAAGACACAAAGTACAATTCCTCTAAGAAGACTTTGACCAACACCAACCCCTTTGATGATGATGTTGTTTCCACCGGCCACTCTTCATCGTCTTCTTATGCTCGTTCCTATGCGGATCGAAATAGGTATCAGAACGATTTCCGCGACTCAGGTGGATTGGAGAGTCAATCAGTGCAGGAATTGGAGAACTATGCTGTTTACAAGGCTGAAGAGACCACAAAATCTGTGAACAATTGTTTGAAGATAGCAGAGGAAATGAGGGAGGATGCTTCCAAGACTTTGGTGATGCTGCACCACCAGGGTGAGCAGATTACAAGGACTCACCATGTTGCTGCTGATATTGATCACGATTTAAGTCGGGTAGAGATCTTGTTATCCCTTGGTGCTACCTGTATGGCCATATTTATCATGTTATGGAAAACATTGTTGTTGCTTTTGCTTTGCATCCTCCCTTATTAGGTAGTCCTTGACCACCAAGTTTCCATGGTCTCAGTCAATTAGTATGACATGTATTTAAGTTTTTCAATATTCGAAAAAAAATGATACTCTAGTTAGGGAACATGGACACTTGTTGGTCCAACGCCACCTAATATTTTCCTCTTGGGAAGAGCTTTCAATTGGTATTCTGGACTGCTCTTTGACTGTTTTGTTGCTGTGTTTACAGGGAGAAAAGCTTTTGGGAAGTCTTGGTGGCATGTTCTCCAAAACTTGGAAACCTAAGAAGACAGGTGCAATAACTGGCCCTGTTGTTTTTGGAGGTTAGTATTTTCTCTTCATGCTCACCATTTTAATTTTAATTATTTGGGTTGTATGATAATCATATATGTCATGTGCTTCATGATACAGATGATCCGGTGAGAAGAAAGGGCAACCACTTGGAGCAAAGAGAGAAGTTAGGATTGACTTCTGCCCCTAAAGGGCAGTCGAAGTCAAGGACAAAACTTCCTGAGCCAACAAATGCCCTCGAACAAGTTGAGGTTCGTATTGACTTGGTGAAGAATTGAGTATTTAGGTGTTTCTTGAAGTCATATGCCTAAATATTAGTATAATATAGGAGTTCCTCTCGGTAATATCATAATATGCGTAAACTCATTAATGTAGTCTACATTAAATGAATGTATATTTTAAAGGTGAAACTCTGATTCTTATTCGAGGACAACATTAATAGAACTTATGATACTGTATCTAAATTTTGTCCAAATATTTATTCATAATATTGAATTCAGCTACTAAATAGAATGACCTGAAACAGGTTGAAAAAGGGAAGCAAGATGATGCACTGTCAGATATAAGTGATCTCTTGGGAGAACTGAAAGACATGGCCCTTGACATGGGAACTGAAATGGATAAGTAAGTTGATTGGATTCTATGCTTTATCTAACTTAACGAGATTCTTTAACACTGATTGATTCGAAATTTCAAATCTTTAGCAAAAGTGAATAGTTTAACTAACCAGCTAATAGTTGTGTTATTGTTCAGAACCATTTCACTCTTTTCAAGATGGCATGATTTATACTGATTTTGCTAATGTTGCAGGCAAAATGATTCTTTGAACGGCTTTGACAATGACATGGAAAAGATTACCATCCGCGTGAAGGGTGCTAATCAACGTGGTCGTCGTTTGCTTGGGAAATAGGGGTGTATATCACAAGATTGATACTATTTTTTACTGTGCATTCAATTTAAGGAGCTTCCAATGTTCCGATATACTAGTTTCAAATATAGTATTGTTTTTATTTATCAATATAGTGTTGTACAATCCGCTTGTGAATTTTTTTGTCTCTGAAATATATAGTGTTGATTTTGAGGTTATTTATGATTTATGCTTATATCATAAATATAGTCATACATACGCCATTTTTCTAGCATGATTCAATCCATAACCGTGTGTACTTTGACTACGAAAGGGATAAGTCATATGTGCTTATAACCCATTATTTTCCACCACACAAAATAAAAGTAATACTTTGTATTAATGTGATTCAAATTACAAGAGTTCATGCTATTTTTCCTTGGATTAGTGGAAGAGGGATAGTCCTTAACTTAAGTAAGGTTCTCAATGTATATATATTAATTAGTTCAAATCAATTGTTCCCTTTAGGTGATTAAAATTATTTCTCCGTTTAAATTATTTGAGAAATAATCGTTTATTTATGTTAGATTTTTTAGAGAATTTCCAAAAACAAGTGATTTTTTTTTCAAATTTAAGCCATAGTAAACATACTGACATATAACATCTTAACAAGAAAATTTAACATGTTTAACTTCACTGTCTATTTGTAGATATAATCTGTCCCGGGTTTTGGGCTTTTACACAACTTTATGTTGGGCTCAGATTCTTTTAGGCCCATAAAATACAGTTAGGTTCATGATATATACACCTTCTTTTTTCTATAAGTACACCTCCTTTTAAAAAAATTAAAATTTTAAAATATTTTTAATTTTTATTTTTTAATTTTTTAATTTTATATTCACAATATTTAATTTAGTACTTTTTTTTACACATCTTTTCTCATTTTTTCAAATTTCACATACACTCCCTTACCTTTTCTTCACCTCACTTATTTTAGTAAGTAATGTTAATTCTTTTAGTCTTACATTACTCTTCCTTCCACCTCTTTCAGTTTTCTTACTCTTATCTTCTCTCTTCCCGTTTTTAGTTTTCACACACATGTAAAACGTAGAATTAGTTTTCAATAATATTATAGGTGTGTGTGACTTTTTCGACAATAAGTAAAAAATTAGAGAAAGACGAAATGGTGCATGTGAAAACTGGAAAAGAAAAAAAGATGTGTGAAAAAAAGAAAAAACTAATAAATTAAAAGTTAAAGATATAAAATTAAAGAAAAACAAATATTTTATAATTTAAAAAAAATATAGAAGGTGTACTTATAAAAAAAAAGAAAAAAAGAGGTGTATATATCATGAGCCATACAGTTATGCATAACTTTAGGGTCCATGCATCACACCTGCACCTATCAAATGGGCAGAATGAGTTGGATTTTGGCCGTGAATATAGCATGAATATATTAATCTTTTTCATTTAAATATATTTTTAATTATTTTAGTTGTGGAAAACCTAGATAATATACAACGATTGCAGTCTTTGACAAAGATTATTTCTGTTCATATGAATATTATGATTATCAAAAAAAAAAAATATAATATACACAAAACATTAAATTATAACCCTATTGCTATTATTATACACTAAAGAATACCATAAGTCATTATAAAAATATTCTTTTTTAGTGTCTCATTATACATGGTTTTAGTCCGTGGTGAAGAGCTAAAACTACACATTATTTTGTTCAACATAAGGTGTAAAAATAAATAAATTTTTTAGATTAGCACCAAAACAATATTCAACTCAATCTATAATCATTATAATTTGAAAGAGGTGTGAATTTACACGCGTGCAATTACGATTGAATTAATCGATAGTGTAGGAGTAGGCCACTGAAAGGGAAACAAAATCACTTCTTTATCATTGAACTTGAAACTAATTTTGATCAAACAATTTACTCACAATTAGATGATACAAATTGCATGTGTCTTCAATATTAAATTACAATAATAGCTCACTACTTACAATTACCATGAGCTTGCAATTGCATTAGTCCTAGTACCTAGTTACTTACTATAATATTAGAAACATTAAACTAAAGTTTTCGCAGTCTAGCACAAGCTGGGGCATCAAAGTTGGGGTATACAATAAATGCAATGGACAAAGGAGCCATGTATATTGGAGATTGCACATTGTTTTGTACTGGATCCAACCTTGGAATATCTCCAGAGTTTGTTAACTCCAGTGGAATACCATTCAGCACAATGGTTTGGCTTCTGAGGTAACCATCTTTTGGAGTTAAGTGGTACTCTTCCCTGAATGTCACTTCTGACCCTTTTGTTCCAACCCAAGAAAATGCTTTCTTGAGTTTATCAAAGAATGAACTTTCTTTATGGATGCTTGTTACCACTTCATTTTCAACACTTGCAGTCACAGGGTTTCGAACACCGAGTATGAAATGAGTCTGATTACTTAAGTTGATCAGAAGTAATGTCACACCAGCCTGCAGGATGTAATTGATAAGAACTAGAAAGATGATAAAAGTAAATATTGAAAGAGTCAAAATAGATCCTTTAGAACCTATATCTAATCTTAAGTCATAGGGTATAAAGATCAAGTCCTTGCAAATTTCACTTAAATATAAAGAATCAGTGGCATACTGTGAGTGAGTGGCAAAGTCACACTACTCAGTTTTTTCTTTTTTTTTAATATAAGTAACTCTTCCATCCACTCGACCCATTTTAAGAGCAAAGTGATAATTTTAGTTACAATTTCATGTCCAAAACAAGGATCAAACTTTTGTCATTGGTTAAACACAAATTTTCACACATTCATTACCAACAATTTTGTATATATTTTGAATACCAACAAAATCCAGGAATCAAATATTTTTATTGGGTGGATGGGCCAAAATTTAATTTGTTATAAACATTTGTGCATATAACTCCATTTAACATAATCTTGATTCAAATGGTCAATTCACATATCATATGTCAGTATTTTAAGCTTCATATAATGTTACAATCAGGTTAAATTAGGGAACTTACTCGGTCTTTTGAACAATGGGCATAAGTGCGTAAAAAGGGTGAAGAAATGTCACTTGAAACTGCAAGAACCTTCTTTCCCATTAACCGATGCCACAATAGTGCACTGTTTAGAAACAAAACCAGAACCTAGAATTAGATAAGTTCAAACATGATATAATAATCACCATAATATTCAAGGAACCTTCAAGAGAAAAAGAGTGTTCTCTTCTCATTTTTTGCAATTTTCAATTAGTACTTGCCTGTAATAATCAGGATTAGGAGTGAAGGTGGTGGTGTTGAGAAGGCCATAGTTCCCTCCAATTAAAGTCTGCCTGCAATATACTTTAGTGCTATAGGTGGATGCCATTCCAAGTTGATCCAAGTACCTGAGTCATTTAAATTTCAAAATTTACAATAAATCACAAGTAATTGTTTTGCTAAATAAAACAAAAGAACATTACAATCCATCCTTTAGAAATTAAAAAGAACAGAAAATGATGAAAGGCATGGACAACCGAGATCACCTACCAAAAGCTGTTCAGAAATGTGTTAGAAACATGATTGCCACCACTGTTGTATGCCCCACCAGCTTCTCCTACCCATGCAGAAGACCAAGGACCATATTTTTGAATGGTCTCTGAAAGATTGCTGAAAATTGATTTCACCTTGTTCAAGCGCTCAGGATCTAGAATCTTCCTTTCAAGATGCTCGTCACTGCCTGAAAGAGAAATCAACTAAGAAAATGAGTATGAAGGACAGACAATAGTATTTTTCCAGCAAGTGAACAGTATTCATATCATCTTTGATACAAGATATGGTTAAATATTGAATTAAATATATCAATTGCCAGTGCATATTTTTTCAATGCAAGGAAAAAGTTAATATTTATGAGAAAATTTAATTGAACAGAAGTGCTGAGGGGTATTGGAGTTTATGACAGGGTAGTTCTGCATGGCATGATTCCACGTTAGCATTCATACTAGTGTAAATATCTTTTGGTAGCTTTGTAGATAATCGGGGAGATGGGAGGCTAAGACGTATCTCTGCATAAATTAGCAAGTGAACAGTATTCATAAGTTAGCTTTGTAGATAGTCTAATTTATCAAAATTCTTCTAGCAACTATTTGATTTTTAGAAAAGACACCGTTTTCTTTTAAAATAATGTAATATATTGAAAAAGAACAAATAAATATGAAAATAAACAACCTACAAGTTGTTGATTCGAATGAAATTAGATTCGATGCTCTTAAAAAAAATTTCGGATGAGTCTTGTAGTTAAAAATATAAAAAAATGGTTAAGGAGACTGCACTAAAGATGGTTAGTCAGATATCCCAACAGAAATTAGTCATCAATAAAGTTAGTAAATACTTCATACTAATAACATGATTATAAAAATAATAATAATAATAATAATAAAAATGAAAATAAATACCATCCATCTTGTTAATGAAATAGAAGTAATAGTCTTCCAATTAAACATGACTTATTCTCTTAACTGATTGTAACTGATGCCAGTGTACTACTTCACAGGAAATGAGAATAGGAGCAAAGGAAGGATTATCTAGATATTTTAGATTATTAAATATTTAGTATGAAAACCTAAAGTAGAAAGAATTTAGTGACAAACAAACCTGGGCCCAAATTATATAAATGATGAGTCAGAACATTGATTATGCCTGAACCCGAAACCTGAAGAAGCTTGTCATACCACTGTTTGTCATAAAATCCCCCTGGTGCTACAAGTGAAGGCTTGAACTTGATGTTATCGTATAACATATCTAGAATTTGTTTAAGCTTTATCAAATCTCTCCCATACTGTGCAACACCAACACTTGCACCAATGCCCTTACCACTCAACTCGTTACCTACAGCAGCAGATGCAAGAATAAGGTTTAATCAAACAAAAATAAACAAAACAAATGACCCTGTCGATTATCCTACCAAGTTCCCATGAATCAATCTTGTATCCCTTTGAAATAGTGTACTTGATAAAATCATAAGTATTTGTATGATCCCAAGCTCCTTCCCAAACATTATGAGTAATTTGGTGCTTCCCATGGAGTACATTCAAGCCAAATGTCACAATGGCCCTGCAAATTTCAAAGTCCTGGCTAAATACCATCATAGATAATCATTCCTTTCTTACATAACGCGTATAAAGACACAATATATTAAATCATGCACACACACTGACATTCAAATTCTGTCTTAATTTATTTACACAAAGTGAGGTTACAAGAATGGAATGCCTATAGACCATAACCTAATATCTAAGATATTCACCATAACAAAAACTATTACTGATATTAACCAATAATGCAATGAAGAGACCATAATTCATGATCTTAATAATAGAAATAAATAAAGCATCTAGAGTGTGTGGTTATCAGGATAAAGTAACTACTTTGAAATTATATCCTTATATTTGCATGACTTTGTGACCAAGAGTGACAAATAACCCAGTGTTGCAACTAGAGAGCCTTTTATACCACCGATGAAAGGCATATAAAGTAACTGCATATTATTAGAATAAGCAGCTAAGTTGGAAGAGTCATTCCAAACTAAGGTTGAGGAAATAACACAGAATGCAAGCAGTTAGCCTCAGGTATCGATGAAGGGATGTTCACTAGCATGTAAACATTTAAACAGAAACAGGCACTTCCATCAGCAGCTATCAGGGTTGAAAATGTGACAAGCAAATGGAAGTTATTACTTTGTTGTAGTATCCAAATTAAACACCTTATTTTATTTTTCATACTTTTGCTTTGGCTTGGAGGAGATGAAAGAGGTGGTGAAGATAATAAGAATAATAAGTCTCAATGTTAAAATTCTCACCCTGTCTCATTGAAAAACTGATTCAGCTCATCCCACCTTTTCATGTGTAAACATCCCTTTGAAAATCCAAACAATCCACCTTTAACCTTTTGAAAGGGATGACAAGGAGACTTCAAACTTCCTACATCATACACCACCTGGTCTTGCAAAGAACCACCCAGTCTTATCCTCAATGGCTTGAGGGCTATCAAGCAACCAATATGAAAAGAATAACATCATGCTTAACTTAATTACTCCAAAGATAAAGATATTCATAAAATACATTGTAACCCAATGCAATCACAAAACAATAGAATGCCATCACTCATAAGAATACTGATTTTCTAAATCATATAGAAGCAATGCAGATATACACACACCTTGGATTGCCTTGGCAAGAAAAGGATGAGACAAGTCCTGAAAAATCAATACACATTGAAGTGAACAGTGAATAAAACTGCCTGACTAATTTCCATGAATCTATATGGGAGACTGGGAGTGGAAGGAAAACATAAATTCTCAAAAGTGTTCATTTCACTTTCTATGCAAATGAAATCCAAAACACTCACCAAATTTACAACAGAAGAATATCCCCAGGGGCAATGGTTGTAGTCACACTTATCATGTGGCCACCAATCAATAGTGGCACAAATGAAGTTATCACCTGTTTGAGCTTTAGCCTGAGCTCCATCTACTAGAAGTGAACCATGTTCAATATCTTGACTTAAAGTGGCTTGAAAAGAAGCCAACAAGAGAAACAATGCAAGGTGGAATCTCATTAGTGGATCAATTGTATCAGCCGCAGCAGCACCCAAATCTAACACAACCAATCCAAAATTCGAAATCAACTGCAGTAAAAGATAAAAGAAAAATTATACACAGATCTTCTACAGCTAGATAATTGCAAAACCTTTTAAATTAACACTACCTAATAACTGGCCATGGCTAAATTAAAAAGACTAAAAGGAGAATGAATATCATGATTGTCTAATTTTTCTAAAACGGAAAATGATAATACAAAAATAATTATTTACTAAAAAGATGATAATTATGATCCCCCAAATTGATTATGTCAAAACAAAATCTAGCACTAGTCAGATGATGGAAACAATGAAGAGCAACATTGGTGTCCTATCATGGAGTGTTCCTGTCACAATCAACACTCAAAATAAATTCATTACGTAATAATAGTGTCCTAAACAACTTTATTGTACTGAAAGGCAACTACAAAAATTGGAACCGCTTCTCAAGATCTTGAGCACTACAGAAGTAACTTTCAAAGTCAGAAATCTCATTATGTCCACAATCACACGTTAATTAAAATAAATAAAAATAATAATAATAATAAGCTCGTTACCAGGGTCAACCAGAGATAAAGACCGGAAACGTAACCACATAGATAATGTTTTATATATTCAGAGAGAGATCTGAATGAGACTTCAAAAGAATTATGAGATCATAGTTTATATTAAATAAGAAGGACCAAGGTTTTAAAAATCAAAACATGAAGATTTTTGGGATGTCATGAGTAGTTGATGCAAAATGTGTAGCTGAGGTAAAAACAACACATGACAAGAGGAAGAGGTACCCAGAAGAGAAAAATGAAAAAGAAGAAGAAGGGGCAGAGAAAGGAGCAAACTTTGGAAATGGGGTGAGTCAACTTGAGTCCTCCATCGCCATTGATGATGTCAAGGGTCAATAATGGCGGAAAAAAGGTGCTTTTCTTTTCTCTGGTTTTCAGTGTCGGTAGGCTAAGGTTTGTGTCTGACACTAATAATAGTTTTAAAAAAATTAAAAATTAATAATCCTATGAAAAACTTGGCTCGTTGCATTTGAAAGTTGAAAGGATAATCATGCCTCTTACGTTACATTCACTCCTTTTTCACGGTCGCGTTTGAGATTGCAGAATCAAAGTGAAATTTGAGCATTAAATAAGATAAACTGGTTGTGAAGAATACTGCCCCGTTATTTTGAAATATGTGCTGTTTAAAAGGTTATGGGAAAATTAAGGAAATCTTATCTTATATTTTTAGAAGAAAAAGAAAAGTCATAAAAATAAAATTCTTTTGAGATATAGGTTATTGCTAGTATTAGACTACTTCCTCCATTTTTTTTATTGTCGTTTAAGATTATGCATAAAAATTAAGAAAATAATTAATATTTTAATTTTTTAAAGTATTTATTACCTATTTTCCTGTTATATCCTTTAGGTAATTGGAAAAAAAATAGATACATTGGAAAATGAATAGATACATTGTTCAATAAACATACATTAATTATCAAGGATAAAAATGAAAAAAAAAATTAATTAGTTATTGGTTTTAGAAAAATGACAGTGAAAAAAAGGTAACAAATTCTGACAAAACGACTATAAAAAAAATGGAAGGAGTATTAGTTATTACTCTCCTCAATGATCTTTTATGTAAGAGATCATTAAAGAGATTAGATCTTTTATGTAAGAGATCATTGAAGAGATTAATTAAGTTAGTGAATGATATTTAATTTATCTTAATTTATGTTTTTTTTAAGTTGCTCATAATAATAAGACACTTATTTGACTAACTATTTTTTTTTTTTTTGTAAAAATAGAAAAAATTACAAAGATGATTGCAATGAGGATTGAACCTAGGTCCTCATGCTTCTAATTACCTCAATCCCTCTCCACCCAACTACTAGGCTAACCCTAGTGGTCTATTTGACTAACTATTTATTGTATTATGACAAACAAATTTAATTAAAATAAATATTATCATAAACGACTTTAATTAAAGATATTTTGTAAAAAAATAATTAATACAAAATTATTTTAAATTGATCTTTATAAAAATGACTAACCAACTTCTTTATATTTTTACTCATCAAAATTACAATGATCATATAAGAGTTCGAATTTAGAATCTTATACATATTATTTGATCTTTTAACACTAAGTTGACTCTAATGATTCAACGATATTTTTTATTCAAGTCTTATTATAAAATAAGGTGGAGATTAAACTTCAATTTTTAATTAATGAAAACAAATATTAAACCTAATTACTTTTGATCTCTTTTCTTTATATTTTGGTGTACAATTATTACATTGAAGCTCGAGTATAGGTCCTCATGCATATTACTAAAGTTGTCAAATGGACTCATTAGGTTGGTCTTGACTTTTACATAATCATGTTTTTTTAATTATTTATTTTTAATACTCTTACCTGTAATTTAAAAGGGATAAAACATCTTGCCTATTTTTTATTGACTTGATTGCCCTGTTGGGCTAGGCCAATTTGCTCGATCATTTTTGAGCCTAAAAATAAAGATCTTGGATCTACCTAACTAGATGGGATCAACAAGCTAGTTAGATTGAACTAAATTTGACAACTCTACATACTTAAACCCCATAATTGTTTCATTCATTTCATTTGAGTTGATATTTAATGATTTTGCATAAATATTAAGAAATGTAATTAATATTTTAGATTTCATCAAAATTATAGTGCAAATTTTTATTGTACTTTATATCTCTTATATTAATTAATTAGATTGTCTCAACTATATATTTTTATTACAAATAATATATATATATATTACATTATTCATCTATTATATTCATATTTAACTGGCTAACAATCTAATTAATGTATGAAGACTTGTTTGAGACAATGAGATCTCCATAAAATCAATCCACTTGTGTTTTTCACGCCTTGGTCAACCTTGTCACACTTTATGTAAAATAATCCAACAAATTTTAGTATGGTCTAACCATCTTTTCACATTCAACATCACTCACTAACCCCTGTATAAATAGTATCATCTTTAGGTATTTTTACATTTTATGATTTCCTTATTATTATGCTAAAACATATAGTGACTCAGCTATTAGAGTGTTTGCAGGTCATCATCACTAATAAGAGTTGTCATCACTTTATATAAGACTTATAAGTAAGTAATACCCTTATATACTTGAGAGCATCTCTAATTAAGGGTTTTTACAAGCAACTTACCACATTTCTTATTTTACTTTAAATGGATCTAATATATTACATTATTTTTGAGCGAATCACACTATATTCTTACAAATTTTGTTCTTATACACACTTTTATTATTATTTTTATTTACAGTTCACTTTTTTAAAAATTAAAAATGAATTTAATTATTATAATTAGATATATTAATATAATGTGGATAACGATATTATTTTGTATAAATATAATAAACAACATTTTAAAATGTATAAAAATGGTAATAAATAATCCACATAATTATTTTAATGTACATAAATTATTAAATATTAATAATAAAGAAATTACATGATGATGAAAAATACATAAAGAAAAAAAGAAAAAAAAAATCCTGCACGCACGCTTCTCTCTCCCCCTCCGTGGTTACATGCATCGAAGCTAGTAAGGAAGTGCGGAGAAAAAAAATGTAAGACCAATAGATTTTATATAAATTAAAATATATTTTTGAGTCTTTATAATTTTAATTACTTTATTTTTTATTTTTTATAATTTAAAATATTTTTTAAAATTTTTATATTTATTTTTAAATAAATTAGTTCTTATAATTTAAAATAAATCTTTTAACTTCCATAAACTTGTAATTTTTTTAATCTTTTTAAGTCTTTGTGGTTTATCTTTTTTTATAATATTATCTTTTTTGTGTTAACATGAAAGAAATATTAATTGTACTTTGTATCTTATGTTAAATTTATTTTGTTGGAGATACTGTAAATTAGGTCTCCCGACTAGGGATGACAAATATACCCGTACCCGCAGGTAATACTTGAACCCGTCCCGACTTTGACGGGAAATACTCGGTTTGACCGGGTACGGGTACGGGTACGGGTAAAACCCGATATATTAAATCGGGTACGGGTACGGGTATGTACTTACCCGCCC